AGAAAGAGTAGAAAGGGTAAATCCCTTCTTCCCTCCCCCCCCTTTTTCTTCATCCAACAGAGCTATTATTCCCTTATAAACAGCAACTTCTCCCAGTGACTGAACAAAGCAGCTACTTACATGTCATATTTTAAACAGGCATGTTTTCAGGCCAAGAAATAAACAGTTATATTTTGGCAATCCTTCATTTCCTGTCCTATTTGCAAGCAATAATGTCATGACACGCAGCATGTCCCATGCCTTCCTCCCTGGCTGAAGCTTGCAGCAAAATAATTTGGCTGAATGAGCTGCCTTTGATACCTACAGAAAAATCACCAGGCAAAAACACAGTGAAAAATGAAAGGGGGGAAAAAAAGGAAATAAATTATTTTTTTCAGCATAAAGGGCAGACTGCAACATTGATGGACTCAGTATTTAGACAAGCATCGCTGATCTCTGCTCAGGGGTGGAGGGAAGTGGGGTTTTGGGACGAGCAAAAGAACAAATGAGGCTTAAGTTTAATTTTCTTTCCCTAGACTGGGAAAAACGCGTCGGTGTGATCTCACACCACATTCTGCTGTCCTGGACAACACCACAGCAGCCCTACAGATATCCCACTTAACCCAGCTCGTTAAAAACCTCCGGGGGACCAGTCCCACTTGCAAACACTTGGCAGGCGTGCTCTGAGCCCGCTGGAATAAATCAAGCGCGCGTTCCGAGGAGCGGGGACACTTCGGGGACACGGGCTCCGGCAGGGCACCGCGGCTCCATCCCAGGCAGCGAGAGGCTGCGGACCAACACTTCCTCGTTCTCTGACCTTTTCCATTTAATTACTTCCTGTGACTTTCTTGGAACCATGCATCGGAACGAGCAGGCGGCAGCCTCCGGCCATAACCGAGTCACTTTAAGGGTTCAGCTCCATCCTCCCCTACGGAAAGACACCGGCAGCCCATCTGGGAGCTGGTGGTTTTGGAGAGGGTCACCGCTCGCAGTGGGCAGCTGCCCATCGTCTGGATACAGAGGCAGCACTTCCCGAAAACTCTCCCACCGTTGCAGCTTTATGCCTCCAATTTATTATCAGGCGTCCCCGCTCTCCCCCAACCCTGCGACGTGTGGAGGGGGGGGAAGGAGGGGAAGCAGAAATAAAGGCTGAGATGCAGACTGAGGCGCTCGCTTTGCAATGACAAATTGACCTCTAAGTATCGATCCGAAATGGTGCAGTGGTGAAGGGACCGATGAGTTTACAGCATCCTAAGCCCCATTTTTTTCCTCTCCTCGGTTTTATAAATTGTCTCAAAACTCAAAATCTTATCTAGCTGTTCTCAAGAAATTATTAAAAAAAAAAAGGCAAAAAAATGGAGGGAGACCCCCTTTGTTGTTTACTTGAAGAGGGTTATTTTAAAAGGCATCCTGACAGTGGTCCTTTTTTTTTTTTTGTAATCTGGCTGTTAACATTTGCTCACAGTGCACTCTGTGAAACAAGAATAGCTATGCAAATTAAAGCCAGATATCTAGGGCAAATAGCACGCTATACTACCATTGTTCTGACAGCTCGAGAAAACTTACCAGGAGAGCCTGTCCTTATTTCTTTTAACACCATATATATTGGAGGAAAAAAAAAAAAATCAAATCACTTCACCCACCACTGAAATGAAAAAACAACCCATGAGTCACCGGCTTCAGCGACGCTATCAATCAATGCAAGGCTGGAAGCGAGGAGCTTACAGAGGAAACCATGGCTTACCTAAAACACCTCGCTGTGCCCTGCAAGGCAAAGGCCTGGACTGAACTCTGACAAGCCCAACCATGGCCTCCAAAAGAGCCACTCAGGGTAAGGACCATGAGGCATCATTTATCCTGAAAGCCACCACATCCAAACCCCAATAAAAAGGCTATTGGTGGCCTGGGAATGGGTTGGATACCAGCTCCCCGTGGCCACCAGCACTCTCCATCTCCCAGGGACTGAAGCACAACGTTGTTGGGTTGACTGGTGACCCCACAAGAGGTGGTGTGACCCAAGAGCTTCCCTCCCCAGCTCAGGTAGGGGACACACATGAAACCCATCCAGCTGAAGCCTCCACCAGCATGGCAGCGCAGTGGCACGTGGAGGAAGAATTTACTCCAAAACAAACTGCAGCCTACAATTAAGGGAAGAAAACCCCAACCAACTACCAGAGCCAAGTGCTCGCTGTTTTACACCGACACTCACCTCCACACCAAGCCCTGCAGGAAAACACATTTGGAGCAATATCTTGCCACAGGATGAAGGCTGGTTCAGCATTAGATTTTGTCCACTGAATTGGGTTAGGTTTGGCCCTGTGTTCTCAAACCCAGAGACAAGGACCCACTTCCCCTCCTCTTGTCCAATTTGCAAAATTAAACAACAAAAAAAATAAACCCCAAACAAAGAACCGGCAGGTTTTTATTGGAAATGAGTTGGCCACATTTTTCCAGCCTGTTAGGTCATGACAATCCGTGCAAGAGAAACTCAACTTTTTCTTTTTTTGTTGCAAGAACCTTACCAACTTCAAAATAACCACAATTTCAGAAGCTACATATAAACACGTATTTATAGTCTCTTCATTAAGAACTGCCAAAATAACAATCCCTCTCAGCACGTTGCAGGCAGAAGCCATTTCCTTCACCACTCATGTTTCTCCAGCAAATCGCCCTAAAATAAGTTTACCAGGACGAAGGTGCGAGTGTGGCACATGCCACCAATTATGATATTTTCTCGGGCTCCAAACGAGCCAAAAAGTTGCACAATTTTGACGCTGCTTTATAAGCCCTGCGAGGAGTCATTTTAAAGCACGGTACATCCTATGGCGCTTGGCACCAACCCAGTCCTGCACGCCAGTGAGTCATTCCTCTTGACTGTCAAAACCCCGAAGGAGATAGCCAGGAACAGCCCTTGGGCCAGCGCGGCGTGAAAAAGCCCTTCCTGCCGTCCCCCTGCAATAGCTTTGGGTTTTATTTTTGGGGAAGAAAACATTAAAAAAAAAAAAAAAAGGGAAAAGGGCACCGTCAGGCATTTTGAAAGCCTCGGCGCGGCCTCTCCTGAGGGGGGGGGTTATTCGTGCGGGGGGTTTATCCGCGGGGAGGCGGCGGGAGCGGGCGTGGGTACCCGCATCCCCCCGGGGGTGCGGCGGGGGGGGTGCCGGTGAATGGGGAGGCCGCCGGTGACCGGGTTTATGAATGCGGCGTCATGTGACGGCGGCGGCGGCCGCCCTCCTATTCACAAAACGGCGGCGGCCGGGGCGGGGACCCGCGACGTCGTGTGTGTCCCCCCCCCCCGCTCCCCGCCTCAAGCTCCGCGTCCCGAACCCCCCCCCACATCCCCACAGACCCGGGGGCCGCGGGGCGGGGGCGCGCAGCGCTCCCCCTTCCTCCTTTCGCCGCCGCTTCCGCCGCCCCCGCCCGGGCGCCCCGAGCCCCTCGGCCGGGGCGGGGAGCGGCGGCGCGGGGCCCCCTCCCCGCGGAGCCCCCGGAACCCCGCGCCGCCCTGCCGGGGGTTTTTTATGAATGAAAGGGCCGTATGCAAATGAGCGCGGCCCGGGGGGGAGCGCGAAATGGCGGATGCGCGGGCGGGCGGCGCGCACACGTACGCGCGCGCCCGCCGTCCCTCTGTCCGCCCGCTCCCGGTCCGTCTGTCCGAGGGGAGCGAGCGACCCCCGCACCGCTTCGCGCCGGGGGCAACAAAGGGTGCCCCCCCACCCCGGCCCCCCTCCGCCCGCCCGCGGCCCCGCTCACTCGTCAGGGTAGGCTTCCTCGGTCATCTTCTCCCCGTCTAGGCTCATCCCTCGCCGCGGGCGGCCGGGCTGCGCCTCCGCATCTTCCCCGGCGCTTCACATGGCGAGGGAGGCCGCGCCGCGGCGGGCCGGGGCTGGCGGCCGCGCCGGGCCCGACGGCGCGGGAGCGCGGGCGGCGGCGGGGGGTGGGGGGGGAGGAGGAGGAGGAGGAGAAGGGAAAGGGAGGGGGGGGCTACGGCCGCGCTCGTCGCCGGGCGGCGGCGGCCGGGGGCGGAGGAGGAGGAGGAGGCGAGGCGGCGGTCAGCGCGCCGCGGGGGCGCGGCGGGGCGCGGCGGCGGCGGCGGCGGCGCGGGGTCCGGGCCCGGGGGAGCGGCGCAGCGCCCGGGGGCAGGCGGCGGCGCCGGGCCAGCCCCATGGCCGCGCTCACGCCATGGCGGGGCGCCGCGGGGGGCGGCGGAGCCGGGAAGGGAGGGAAGGAAAGGAGCGGGGAGCCCCGGCAGGAAGCGGCGGCGGCGCTGCCGCGGCCGCCGGGAGCGGGGCAGGGCAGCGCCGGACCCGGGAGGGAGGGGACGGAGCCGCAGCGGCGGCGGCGGTGGAAGGAGGAGACGCGGGCGGCGATGGCGCCGCCCCGGCCCGGCCCCCCGAGCCCCCGCGGCGCAGCGCAGCGCCCCGGGTGCGGTCCCGCCGCGCTCGCCCCCGCCCGCCGGCGCCGCCCCCCGCGCCCGCCGCAGCCCCCGCGCCCCGCCCGCCACCAGCGCCTCCCGCGGCCAGGCCCGGGTGGGGTGGGATGGGATGGGACGGGACGGGACGGGATCGGCCCGCCCGGCTGCGAGTCTGTCCGACCCCCGCTCGGCTCGCCCGGTTCAGCCTCCCCCGGCCCCGCTCAGCCCTGCGCAGCCTGACCCAGCGAGTCCTGGCGCAGCACTCCCAGGCGGCGCTCAGGATCACGGAATCACAGAATCAGTTAGGTTGGAGAAGACCTCTGAGATCACCGAGTCCAACCTTTGGCCGAACACCGCTATGTCAACTAGACCATGGCACTGAGTGACATGTCCAGTCTTTTCTTAAACACCTTCAGGGACAGTGAGTACACTACCTCCCTGGGCAGCCTATTCCAATGTCTAATCACCCCTTCTGTGAAGAAATTCCCCCTGATGTCCAGCCTAAACCTCCTGGGTGCAGCTTAAGACTATGTCCTCTTGTCCTGTCACTGATTGCCTGGGAGAAGAGGCTGATCCCCACCTGGCTACAACCTCCTTTCAGGTAGTTGCAAAGAATGATAAGGTCACCACTGAGACTCCTTTTCTCCAGGCTAAACACCCTCAGCTGCCTCAGCTACTCCTCACAGGACTTGTGCTCCATTCCCTTCACCAGCTTTGTTGCCCTTCTCTGGACAACTTGGCTCACCTCAGCCTGACCTCTCCAGCCCAGCTGAGTTTGGTTCAGTTTGACCCAGGGGAGCCTGGATCGGCACAGCTCCTTGTCATGGCTGATGAGACCCATAGGAAGAATTTCCATACCACGACGCCATGTGTCCAGTGGGGGATCTGGCAGCCAGTTGGTAAAAGAAGAGCCCAGGGAGCCAGTGTTGGCCCCACAGCAGCGTGTCCTGAGGTGATGGGGCTCCTCAGCCCATACATCTGGTTTCTCACCACCCTTGTGTTCTTCCCACTGCACCTTCCCCTCGTGAGAGCTCAAATCGACATGTAACCATGTTCAGCATTGCTATGGGGTCTGTGCTGGCATTCTGGTAGCATCGTGCAGCTTATTTTGTAGGCCAGTTTAAATGTTTTTTTGCTGCAGTGAACAGTGCCACAACTGTAAACACTCTCTCAACTCGTGACTATAGCTACACCTTGACGTCTGCCCTCAGGACTTGTTTGGTCCACAGAGGAGGGGGTAACAGGAGCTCACTATTGAAAAGAAAGTTTGGCCCATGAATCTGAGTAACCAGCAGTGAGTTTTGGTTTTGCTTTCTCCACCAGATGCTCTGTGATCAGGCAATCCTGGGAGAAGAAATGTGTCTGTCCCACCCAAGCTCATCACCTTGACCTTCCAACTTCCATAGGCCCCTCCCGTTGAAGCATCCCTTTCCCATTGCAGGTAGGGAGATGTGCCTTCTCTGCTCTCATTGCATAGGGATATTCAGTCTCAATGTGGCTGCAATTCCTGAGGGAGCCACTTGCTCATTTGTCTTTCAAGTCTAGTCTGTGGGATTTAGTCTTCAAGGGACCTTCAAGTTTTGGTGTGGAAATTGTGTTTCTGCTCCACTGGGTTTCAGTTTCTAAGTTCTGCTAATTTTCTTTTCAGGAATAGAAATGGACACTTGGAGAAAAATCTGTGGACTGCTAGTAATGCAATGAAGGCAAGAGCTGATGAAAGCTTTGAGGTCTTCCTTCTGGGCAGTCACTCCCAGGGAGAAGCAGCATATCCTTTGGAGGTGGTACCAGAATCCACTGCTTTGGGGGCATTACAATGTTATAGTGATGCTCCTGCCACTGCCAGAGGTTTGACCATAACACCAGACAATATATGAGAGTACAAGCCTTCTTTCCAACCCTTGGCAGCCCATGGCATGCTCTTTTGGGTGGAAATGCTGCCTATATCCCCACCCCCTTTCCACCCATTCATTCCTCTGCAAAGCATAGTTTGTCACCCCCGCGGCTGTGCTAATGCACCCCCCGAGCTGAGGAGTGACACTGCTGGATCTGCTGAATGGTCCCAGCTAATAATACCCCCCAATACCTCTTTATTTTGGAAAGTTATTCAAGGATCCAACTTGCAGAATGGCATGATAAACATCTTGGCAAAGCTGAGTTGGCAGCAAAAGGAAGTGTCAGGGCAGGAGTAAATGGTTAGGGACAAGGAAATGGCAGGAACGTCTTCAGCTGCTGTACAATAAAAGACCAGAAGTAATGATTTGACACATTTCTACCCATCCTATGTCTTTTTTTTTTTTTTCCAAATGATGTTGTGATCGCACAGACCTCTAACATCCTTAAAACCTTTCATGCCAAAAATTTCCGTGGTCAGCAGGAACATCAATGCACCTGAAGTGGGAAGTGTGGCATTTAGCAATTGGTTACTACAGAAGCAGAATAAGGGCAGAGTTATGGCCGTATGAAAAACCCAGGGCACAATCTTGTAATTAAAAGGCCATCATAATGCATGTACCACTGAGGAGGACTGGGTATTAATCACTGTCTGATTAATACTTGAGAGCTTGTCTGTGTGATCTGGATGTATTTTTATGTGCTCGCGTTGTGTATGCACGTATTTGGCCCAGTGGTGAGAAGCAAATGTGTCTGAGGCTTGGAAGCTGAAGTTTCACTTGATCTGGCTTCTTGAGTCATTTCCTGTGGATTTGCAAGATCTCATATTTGATCTCTGCTTTCACTGTCCTACTAATTTAGAAGCTGCTGAGCGATGTATTCTCTGAATGATTTCTCTCCCTCTTGGTATTACTTTCATGCCGATAGATACTCAATTTTATTTCTCTGATATTCAGGTTACTGTGCCGGTTCTTGCGAGTGGTGCATTCGAGATGACTGACTTTTCTGAATGAAAAGGCTCCCTCTCAGAGGTGTGATTTCTGTTTGTGCCTTGTGTTGTTTGTATACAGAGTTTCTGCTCAGACACAGAATAGTGCTTCCCTGTGATGTGTTCATTACAGTACCTAGAATTAATTAGCTATGGGTGGCAGAGCTTCAAGGCAGCAGCTCCTGCATACTAACGATTTGCATGCTGTGACTGTCCTGTGTTTTGTATTCAAAAGAAACATTTATTTTGCAAAGTAATGCTTTAGCTGTTGCAGAGAATCTGGCATATGGATCTCGTTTCTGCTTGGATTGGAATGGACTTCCCTGAGTGCTGTTACACCTTTAGCTACCACTTATTTAGGGTGAGAAGTAGCTGGAATTTGAAGTGGCAAACTTCAGGATGGCATTTACTGCAGGCTTGCAACGTAACCTCCTACCTTCACTTACTCTTGCTTGTAAAACCTTTGAGCTGAAGTCTTCCACACTGTTGATTTAGGAACCTAAATATGAATGTTGGTACCCTGTTGACTGTGCTGAATTCAATGATTTTTCCACTGACTCACTCGGTGACTTTGAATGAGTGAGGAGTGGAAGTCAGCAGTCCTGAATCATGCCATCCTCCAGACAATTACCCCCCTCACCGATAATTCTTTCGAGCAGCAATCATATTTTAAAAGCAATGATTGCATCTGTGTTTTCCCCCATTATAATCACTCAGAATTTAAGAGCCACAGAAACAATCTGCAACATTTGCAGTCAGCTTGAAATCTTTCAGTTGACACTTTTTGGGAGGTCAGAGACTGTGGAAATACTAAGGGTTCTTTTCAGCAGGAGTGGGATTTCAGCATACCTTTGGAGAATTGGTTTGGAGAATTGTCAGGATCATTTCAGGCACCTGCCAGGGGAAGAGAAGGTGGAGAACTCCTTGCAGTCTTCCCAGGATGTCGTTTTGGAGGGTGGTAAGATCAGAGCAGGAAAGCAGAAAGGACCCTCACTGCCAGATGAACTGGTTTGCTCAAGAACTGACTATGCCACTGTTTTCCAGTTTTTATTTCTTTGTAACTCTGTGTTTTACTAGGGCTGAAAGTGGCAACAAATCTTAGGAGATCTCTTGTGCTGTTGCCTGTGTGATTTTTCAGGACACCAAGGGATCAACCTGGGCAACAGCAATGACTGTGCTGGTGTCTGGGAAGGCATTGACCAGTGCATGCAGTCAGCCATGAGTCACTCGTGTGGGACAAATCTGCTGTCATTTGTAGCTGATTTCACGAAACCATGCGCTCTCCTTCACCCTCTCCCAAAATACAAACAAAGTTTATTGAAATGAGGAGACTGTGAAGAAAAGGGGTCTTTTCAAAACCCTTGCTTTCTCACTGGGCACTCCGTTGCCCTCGTAATATTCAGCAGTATGTGATTTATAGCTCCCCTGACACGATGGTTTGGTGTTTCCTTTGTGTGCATAACTTCCTTTTGATATAAAGGGATGATAACAAACCTAAACTGTAATCTCACTAGCACATGACACATTGTCTTTGTGGTGCAGATGGCAGGAAAATGCTCTGATCTTGAGTTCAGCACTTCAGCCTTCCCACCCCCACCCCAAATTCCACCCTGGTAACAGGGTGGGCATTAGCAAGTTTAGTGAGACAGCAGTGTTGGTGGGGGCGATTCCTTCAGATGCAGTGATGCAGGATGATGGTTTTGGGAGTCCCACTGGAGTTGAGTTCCTGGTATGGACTCAGCAAGAGATGGGTGCACAGCTGCTTCTTTATCTTCTTCTTACCTTTTTGTGCTGAATGACTAGAAGGAAAAACTGCTACAAAACCTTCACTTACCGCTGTCAGTCCCCCAGCAGAGCTTTCCTTCTGTGCATTCCCAACTCAACGTGCCCTGGCCCATCAAATCAAAAAAATAATGTGCACGAACTCTGCAACTGTCACGGCAACCTCAGGATTAGTCCTAAAGCCGGGCTACTTTTGGCATGAGGGAAGGGCTGCTCTTCTCTTGAGATGCCTTTCCACCCTTGAGAGGTTTCTGCATTTTTGATACAGCTGCTTCCAGAGCCTCATGGGAGCTGAACAAACAGATGTCAAATACTCTGTTCTTACTTCAGGGAGCACAAAAGTGGATGGGTCTGGGATAAACACTGGAGCTGTGCACACCTTTTCCTCCCCTCCTCGGGGATTATTTGAATTAGGCTTGAACCCTTAAGTGTATTTCAAAAAGTTGCCTTCTGATGGCCAAAATTCACTTGGGTGTTCCTCCCTGTCTTGCACAGCTATTGTGAGACCAACCCTTCTGAACACTCATGTCCCCTTTATTGCAAAACTCTTTGATTGGCCTCAGCAGGTGACACAACGGACAGTTGACTACTTACTTTAGCAAAACCAGTTTTCATGGCTTGACCTCCTTTTCTGACCCAGTGTCTTGCTGTGAGTAGAGGGTCCTATTCAGTTTCTGAGCAGTTGTAATTGCAGGATTACCCAGTCCAGGCCCAGCCGTGGGAGAAACCCCCCCACAGGCATTGATCAGGAAAGGCTTCTGGAGTTAAATTAAGCTTTTGAAATATGGAAATGAGGACATGGCTTAGTCAGGCGTTCAGTGGCATATGATGCACAGGGGAAATGAGTTATATGCACCCTATTTGTGTCCCTCTGAACCCAGCCCTCAGCTTCAGGGCTGCTCGGTGACATGACCCATGCAGAACTTTAAAGATGCTTGACAATGTTTGATTTCAAAGGGTGCCAGTCCACCCTCTTCTCCAGGCAGATATTTTTCCTTGTGTCAACATCCTCATAACAACTCCAGCTAGGCAAATATAGCACATGGCTTATGAGTGTCCTGGAAGGACTCAGAGGTGGAGAGTTAGAGCTAAAGAAGGTTCATGGTTAACCCCATGCACCACTGAATAGCTTTTCCAGGGATAAATCACAGCACATGATGAAGAAGCTGGGAGGAGAGTTTAATGGTCCTGCAGAGAGCACCACCTTAGACAGCCATCCCTCAAGATATTCCCAAGGATTCTCATGGAAAATAATCCTACGCTCCTTTTATGTCCTTGTAATCACACACATATTATGCTTCCCTGCCCTGTTCTAAGGAGAAAGGTAATTAGTCACTCCACACAAACCTTTTGGGACTATGCCTATACTCCAGTATGGAATACAGCTCTGTCTAGAAGGGAATAAAAATGCACAACTCTGCTCTGTGTGTGGTTATTAACAGAAGCTGCCATTCGCAGGAACTGGGTGCAAGGCCTTCCACGTGCTCCCTGCCAGCTGCATCTCCAGCAGCATTGGCTGCCAGGCTTAACAAAGCCCAGAAATGGAAGCCCAGGTTATGAGAGCTTCACACCTGTAACGCCAAAAGCACAGGCTTGACTCCTGCTCACAAAACTCCCTTGTTTTAGATAGCAGGCTCTCCAGTTTCTTAGAGAGGAAAAAAAAAAAAAAAGAAGAAAGGCTGGTTATTGCTGGGTGTGTGTTCTGACCTTAAAAGCTGAAAGTAAAAACTCTTCCAGATATGGGGTGTGCTGAAGTGGCAGCTGAAGGGCTTTTTTTGTTCGTTCTACAGTTAATACCATCATGCTAAAATTGCACAGGGAGGAGTGGGGGTTAATTTAAGATTTAGTGTGACCAAAAAGAATTATTTAAAAAACAACAAATGGACGACATTCTGAAAAATAAGCTTGATTTCCATAGTCAGGAGTACTTGACTTAAGTTGCAGGGACTGTGAAGGAAGCCTCCTGGATCCATGGCAGGTAAACATTTGCTTTTGACTCTGTTTTTCTCTTCAAGTGTAGAAACCCCAGCATTTACACTTAAATGGATGTGCTGTAAGCTATGTTTAGGAAGAGAATTTCATCCCCTCCTGCACGTACTTTTAACACATGATAATTATTTGACTGCAGCTTTACAAAGTATGGCTGGAGGGATGGTTTGTAAGGGAGGAGTTACATGGCACTGATAACTGCCTGACTCAGCCCCACTGAAGGCAGTGGCAGCAGGATCAGGCCATCCAGAAGAGATATTTTATTTTAAATGTCAATTATGTACCTTCAGTGGCTTATGGTAAATTCCTGCCTCCTGATTTCACGCGTTGGAGAACACGTGTATGCTGGAGTGATGAATGTCTTCAGGGTCACGTGTTCAATGTGGACAGGAATCTCTGCATTTTATAACCTTTTTTTTAAAAAAAAAAACAAACCAGGGAGCCAGAGAGCTTATGAAGATGATGTTTTGGTGACTGATACCATCGGTTTTGTCTTCATCAAACATATCACAGAGTCTGTGCTCTTCCTTTATTTTTTGCTTTCTGCTTCTTCTCTCCCACCTGATCTGTTCCTTCTATACAAGAGGAGCGATAGTCCAAGATTCATCAAGGGGGGAAAAATTGCCCTAACCACATGTCCAGATGCATTACCTTGCATATGACTGGTTCTGCTTGTGCCGAAGCCATTGCCACATTACCAGTATTTAATTTATTATTGCACAAAATGCTCTGGATAGCTGTGACATTAAAAAGGTTTTTATAAATTGGTTGTTGCTCAGCTCTGAAGAGATTTGGGTCTTTTCTTTGATGTTTCTCGGTCTAAGAAAGTGAAAGCTCTCCTACAAGACTTGATCAAAGTCCTGTGAGATGGCAGTCTGAATTTTGGCCCTTCCTCTCTTGGAGGAAAGCAAACCAGGACAAGTCTTTGTCTTCTTGAAAGAAACATGGATAACTGTCTTCTTTAAAATCCTGTGAGGATGGAAAGCAGAGGTTATTTTCACCTTCCTGTAGAAAGGTCAACTCTGTCCCCTCTGCAGATGGACTTAACCTCCCCAAGTAACAGGATGAGCAAGGCACCTTTTGAGAAGGGTCACCAGAGCCTGTTGCTTTGTGCTTTCTGAAGAATGCTAGCAGTGGAAAGGGCTTCATGCCACTACCATACAGCTGTCACCAAAATCACAGCCAGAGGTTTATTTGATCATAAAATCTGCTACAGCAGGAAGCAGTGGAAGCTCTGCAGTAACTTACTTTGCTGCACACAGCTACCCCAACAGGGGCTTTGACCTTTAAACAATGGCACTTTGTTATATAGAATTTTCTTATGTTAATTTTCCAAGTATTGAGGGGAAGAGGATCACTGAGAAACAGGAGATCTTGAAAAAAAATTTAAAAAATGTAATAAATCATATATTGTGACTTTTGATATAATTAGTACATCCATGTAATAACGTCTGGTATGACTAGTCTTCATTCGTATCCTTCACAATCATTTGTAGGGGTGAAGAGTGTTGCTCTTCCATTACAGCAGAAGAAATCACAGCCTGAGGAGATACCCAGGTGTCAGGGAGAGGACTTGAACTCATGAGCATTTGGGAGTCATCTAGGACAGGAAAACAACATCTACTCGAGTTTAATTCCCTGTGCTTTTTTATGTGTGTCTAGTTGCTTGGCTGTGAGTGGTATTTAAATCCCCTGAGCCCCTCCGTTCCCTTGTAATTTACTATCAGAAAGGACAGAAATAAATTCTAACATGTTTGTGAGACATATCAGAATTACTTCAAACTTAAGAGAATTTTGGAGTAAACTTAAATGCTTCAAAGCCTAAATATCACACTGCTAATTATCTTCTTATTAGTTTAAATCATCATGGATAAAAATGAAATGCTGCTGTGAAAACTGCCCCATCAAACTGAACGTGGTTGTAGCTGTTTGCCTGGTGTGACCTGAGTAAAAGTGCTCTACTGTGCATTTCTACTTTAGAAAAATTCTTTATGCCCTGATTTCCAAGTTCGAAAATAACTCTCTACAGATGAAACACATTTTTCACCCTTCAAAGAAGTGTTTTCACCTACAAATACTCCTTGCTGCCTAAACAAGAGCCCTTTCCTTTACACTTGTGCCAACATGTAACTTGGATAAAGAATTAAACTTAGATTCTTAGTTATAATGCTTCCCCTGACTTTTTTTTTTTTTTTTTTAAATAATGACTGTAAGACCTGTGCCTTCTTCTTTCTGAATTTTAATCTTTCTAGTGAAGGTGTGTTTGAAGAAGGCACACCCTTCAGAAAATGTTTTGTGGTATCGTATTTGTGCCTTTAGTGTTGAGGACGAGCTTGCCTTTTCAATATTAAATGCACTTTTCAGGGTCTTACATCACAGAGGCCTAAATTAAAACATGCTTACCATAAAGGGGTGCAGCATATGCATTCATCCTGGAAATTGCACTGTGACATGAAAGATATCCAAGCACTACATGTAATTTTGAAGATGAGCAAGGCTTGGCCTTTCAGATGTCCCACGCGAGGGAAGCACCCACATCCCGCAAAATTGTAAGCTTCTGAATCATGGAAGTCGGATCATAAAGCCTCTAATTCCCACTGGTTTGAAGATGTGTGGGACTGTGAAAATTAAGCCCAGTGCTGGATCGGGGGTGGATGTGAGCCTGTGCAGGAACCCCTGTGACCTGGCACCCAGCATGACCCAGGGAGCTGCAGAGCTCAGGGATGGGGTAGCTCTCACTTTCTGCCTCCCAGCTCCTCCTCCACGTGGTTTTAAGGCTCCAGGGTCAGGATCTGGTTGCTCACCACGGTGTGAAAATTTTGCTTAGTGGCTTGCAGGCTGAGAAGGGCTGGTCATGCCCTGTGTAAAGAATTATTTGTTTAGCTCTAAGTGTCTTTCTCTTAATTAAGCCTGACAAAGAAAATGTTTCCCCTCTGGTATGGTGGTATAGACCAGGAGTAAGACCACTGGCACCCTTATTTTGGATATATATACCATGGTGAGACCAGCAGCTGACCTTTAATATACCATGGAATTATGCAGCTATGGGTGCACTTTGCTGCAGGCTGTGCACCCCTGCAGATCTAGAGACCTTCTTTCTGGGTTCATATGGGATTAATGCCAAGTTCATTCTCCACATCCATGTCTCCCAGGGGCCAAACTGTAGCTTCCAAGAGCCATCGGCTCCATGAGCCTGTGGGTATACAGAGGGAACTCCCAAACTCCAACCAGAGTGAGACTTCCTGCCTCTATTCAATGTCAATTTTTACTCATAACTGTTGCAGGGACAAATTTTGAAATCCATTCCAAGTATTGGATATTGGCAATCCCTCTCCTAAACTGCCATAGTTGGAGAGTATCCTGGGCTAACTTTGGAGGCTCTAGACTCTCCTGTTTCTAGATATTGCAGTAAATGTTGTTATTTAGCCTCCTGTGATGTTACTGGGCTCTACACAAATGTCCTAGTCAAGCTCACAAGGAAGAGGAAATATGGGAATATTTGCCACCAGAAGACACTGCCTCCCTTGACATTTTTGTCTGCAAAACAATGACTTACAGAGAGTTTTAAACTGGAAGGTGTTGTTGGCTGTTTTCTTTTTAATTTTTTGATTTTTGTTTCCTGTAGGAGACCCTCTGAATTCCTTAATGTTGTCATTGAGTCCTAGGGATTTCCCTCCCTCTCCTCTTCCAGTTGTGCTAGCTACATCTCCCAAGTTGCCTGCAATGCGAAATTGCTGAGGGAAGACATTTCTGTTTAAACTGAAAGCCATGAATACAACAGCTCCTCCTCCCAAAGGAAATGTTGTTGTTCTTTTTACTTCCATGTCCTCAAATAAGTCATAATCTTTGCTCTGTACCCTGGTATTTCCACTTGGGACTTCCCAGTTTCCTATAAATTCTGTTTTACTCTCTTGCTGAGTCTGTGGAACCAGATACTAAATCCATCTTACTGAAAAAAAAAAAAAAAGAACAATAAAACCCTAATTGAAATATTTTGCTGAAAAATACCACACCATAGTGATTTTTGAAACAAAAACCCTAGAAATACTTTTTTTCTTTTCTAAACTAGGAAAAGAAAAGCAATTCACTTTTAGTGGAATTGGAAGTCTTGTGTGGTATGCAGTGCCAGCTTCAGGAAGAGGAGAACCTGACTTTGTCTTTTTATGTGTATTTGTGTATCTTTGTTATCAATATTGTAGAGTCACTCTTGTCAAGTTTTGCCATGATGTTAAGGAGAAGGTGGCTGTTCCAGGTACTGTGAACTCCTCTAAAACCTCAGTCAAACCTCAGGGGCTCTGCCCCCCACTTCTCTCTGACGGAGGGCAACCAGATGTCCAAGCTCTGTGTCCATTCTGGAGTCCTAAGAAGAATCTTTGGGATATTGTTTTGTCCTGGTTTTTTTTGGTGTGTGTTTTTTTGTTTTTGTTTTGTTTTGTTTGTTTTGGGTTTTTGTTTTGTTTTGTTTTGTTTTTTTGGTTGGTTGGTTGGGGTTTTTTGGGGCTGGATATAGTTTTTCTCCCAGCAAGCCATTCTTACTTTTCAGTGATCTGATGTTATTCCATGCCAAGAAGACAGGAGTCTCCCACGCAGGAGACTTGTGCCTGACCCACCTCACTACCCTCCCCAGCTCTTCCTCCCTTCACTGCTCCTTTCTCCCTTCAGAGTCATCACCCAACTAAGTTCCTTATAACTTTGGTGCATTTATACCCTTGCTCTCCCAGATCTTGAGGCATGAATTCCTTGTTGATCCCACCCAGAGGGATCATTCTTTTGTGTGTAGTGACTTTAGGCTGCACCATGCAGCACCTCAATCCGGGAGTCCCTGGCCAAAACCCAAACACCATGTTCCCCTCCACCACGTGAAAATGAAAGTCAGCTTGGCCACAGCGAAACCACAGAGCCGTGGCAGAGCCTCATGTGTTTGTGGAGATGGTGTAAAGCACCCAAACCTTTTCTTCAGATTTTGAAGGGGTGCAAAATACACAGACGTGTCCGTCAGCGGGACCTCCAGAAGGACAAAAGGCCACTGGGATCCCCCCTAGGAAAAGCTGCCCTAAGGTCGGTGACACAGGATTTCCACAAGCTTGTGCTTATCTTATAGACAAATCTCCTGGGGAGGAAAAGTCAGACACACACACAGGTACAGTGAGCACAGCTGTCTGTAGTGGGGCTGTAAGGAACCGCCGGAAACCCATGGAGGAAGATGCAAAAGAAAAAAAAAAAAAAGAAAAGGGGAAAAAGGCGGGGAGGGAAGAAGCTGTTTTTCTCAAAGCTTGGCTGCCCTTGCAAGCAGAGTAACATCACAAAAGAGACACATGTTAGGCAGGTTTTGACTATCAAATCCTTTCAGTGTTCTGTAGATGGTGAAACAGAGGGAAAGAAATTTCACTGTGCATTAGTGCAGTGGTAACATGATGTTTTCAGGAGAGTGCACCCATGAGCAGGCACAGCAGCTTGCCATGCTGATAAAGCTTGTTTCTGGTCTGGAATAGGGGAAACTGAGCCATGGGAGCAAATCAACTTGCCAAAGCCACACAGCAAGTGTGACAGAGTTAGAAAGATTAAATATGAACAGATTGCCCTTACCCTTCCTGCTTCATGCACACATGCAAAGACAGTGCCTGCACTGAGCGTTTCCGATGCTCCTGAAATTCTGAAGTCAGGTGGCCTGAATAATATTGACTCGCTTCTTATGTAGAAGTTATAGATGGAGTAAAAATGAGCCACTCGAGTGTTCAGTTTGCTCCAACAGGAGCAGAAATTTGTTGCTCACTCCATGTTAGCCCATGCACTGTATGTCAGGGAGGCTCAAAGTAGAGCATATGCCCTCTGAGAGATCTGGGGAAATAAGAGCTGCCTCAGTTCAGGGGCTGAGCTGGAAAATGGAGAGAAAAAGAACTGGATTGGGTCAAACCAAAAGGCAAGGTAATTTTTCCCTTTTTTTTTTTTCCTGTTTTTGTTTGGTGGAAATGAGAAAAACCCCAATGTGTTATTTTGGGTCAACCCGAATCACATTTTGAATGTAATGTTTTGTTTTGAGGTTAGTTGCCCCTCTTGTTTCTCACACTTTCTTTTATTTCAGGTCTCTTTTGAGTGGAAAATGCTACTTCAAAATAGCAAATCAAAGGGTTGTGTTTAAGAGGCAGTGAAATAAAATGCTGTGGCAATTTCAAAACAAACCATTTATTTCAAGAAATGTAGATATGTATGTCTTTCCCCCATAAATTTTAGATACAGTTGTAAATGTTTGCCATGTTTCATTAATCTTGGAAGTTCCAAATTGCATGGTTTGGGTTTGTCTTTTTTTTTTCCCAAGATATTTTAGTGTTGGTTTGTTTTGGGTTTTTTTTTGCATCATTCAATTCCTGCTGAAGCAATTTGCCCTGCAGAAACAACAAAAGGGAGGTGTGTGACCTGAGGAATGGGGGGTCATAAGATTTCAGGGCACAGGACAAGGCTCACAAGAGCACTTGGGTCAGAGGCCAGTCTATAGCTGAAGGCAAAAGCATTACCAGTGCCCTCTTATTTCCCAGCAAAGCTACCAAAGTAGCAGCAGTGAGGAAAGAACAGAGGCCACAGGGGATGGATGTGTGTGGCTTCATGTTGCTCGGTTTTAAATGGCCGTGCCACTGGAGGGTTGGTTTTCTAACACCCAGATCACCAGCACAAACCTTTCACCCCAGGCTTTCTCAGTTTGCTGGCAGGTCCTAGAGAGGTAGATGTGCAAGAGATGTTGGGGTCTAGTTTTATCACTATGCACCCCATGCCCTGTGGGGATCTGCAGGGCTCTCTCCTTCAGCTGGTTTGCCCTATTAAGTCTACGGATGTGTAGGTGCACTTGGAGCTACTCCTCTGCTCCAGCTGTGGGCCTGCTTGCTCGCCAGCAGGCAGGCCAGGGATGTATGGAGGAGCAAAATGCCTTGTGCTCACTCCAGATAAGAGAGGTGATGCTGATAGGCATGAGGGAAACATCCCAAGCAACTGACTGAAGCAGGAATGTGGTTTGCAGCTCAAGTGTTTGCCTGACTTGTTGGCACTCTCGGGCAGGGGCAGACGGGAGCTGGTCCAGGGGGACTGTGCTGCACAACAATGTCCAGTCCTAGAGCTTTTTTTTCCATCTACTGCGAAGGCAGTAGCCCTTTAAAACCAGATATATGGTAACTGGCA